CCCCACGATTTTAGCGTTCAAGTGGCGAGAAACATTCGACGTGGATGGAATAATATCGTACACAGTGTGGTCGGTCTCTGTTGTTAGTAGCACGTGATTGGATATGAATAGATATTGTAGAAACGAAAATCTTCGTTGCTTCGAAAATTAATTTCCTTAAATTTGTCGATTCGATCTCGATTGATTTATTCTAGAATTCAAAGATATGTTAATCTGTCTACTACACGTTAGTATTCAATGTTTGCAGAAATTTGAAAAGTTTGCTCGAGTACAGATGTTCGTAAAAGATATTCCAATCTCTTCTTTCTTTCACTGTCCGCTTTTTATTCTTTCCCCCTCGATCATCAATAATACATTATCTTGCAGATATGCAGCTTGCAGCGATACTTCAAAACTGTTCGATCCTACACACAACACGTACATAACATAACACAAGGTTTGGGTTAGGTCGCTTATCACTAGCTCGAATCGAGCGTTCCACTGTCGGTCACGATCAATGAACGTCTCGCAGCTGAATGAATCTCAAAATGCCAATCATCCAACCACTTTTGATCTATTCTCGATATAATCAACAACATATTGCGATGCCTAACCAAAATGCACCATATTTCGGTTTTTAAATTATACAGTGAAGTGAGTTGGATGCCAAGCTTCGATTTTTTCTAAAAAATCACGCATTTGCAAATTTTCCTGTGCAAATGTCAATATTTTTTCCAATAAAAAAGAAAATCTACAGTTCGATTTAATATATCCTCCTTTCTACGTACGTAATTTCCACACTGCTCCTTGCTACTTATTCCCGACCTACGTTCAACGTATGTACATATTTTCGATTCATCATCGATCGTAAATATTTCCACAAATTCCGAGAATCCCGCCAGCAGATGCATCTTTCCAGCTGTGCCCGTGCGTACGTTTTCCATCTCGGACAACGAGTCGCTTGTGTGCGTCGGAAACATCGGTTGCATCGATAAAGGTGGGATTTCTCGTAACTAGACTGAGAATTTTTATATGCATTTTTTATATCTTCACGAACGTGACTGAAGAAATGAAACCGACTAAAACTGGCTGTATATTCCATAAAATCATCGTCTATTATCGACTAAATATTCCATATCAAACACTTTGAATATTTTTGTAGATTCATGCATTGCATTTCTCTCGCGAGAAGGCGTAAAAATCCACAGTTTATTTGTAAATGTCAGACAGAGAAGTATGCTCCTGTTTATCTCGCGTCATGCGGGTCGGCAAATTTGAAATTCGCAGAAATTGTTCATGTATACTCCCGCTCAGAAATCTTAGGACAAGTACTATATTTGTATGATGAGAATAATACAATAAGTATAAATTATATATAATAAATTACAATATTTACAGTAAAAATTTCATAATATAAAAGTATAAATTATGTACACAACGTGAAATTTATTGTATTTACAACAAATACAAACAATAAATATACTTTGTTTAACTCAGACTGTTGATATATTAATATATTGTATTACAAAATATGTATACACGATAATCGACTATAACTACCGAATATTAAAAATTAAAAGTGTCTTGAGACATTTGAGCGGCAGTGTACGTCGAGACGCTGACACTCACAGAAAATTTCGCCTTCAACCTCAATTCCCACACCCGTAACACGAATTATAGTCTGCGAGTGAATTGCATTCCTATTTAAATTAAAGTTCGAATCTGATAAAACTTCAGTTCTTCAAATCGAAGATTAACCACTTGCGCTGGCGACTGGTTCGCGGGCCACAACGAGTGACCAAATCGTATAATTCGTCGGCATGATATCACTATAGATAGAAATTATTAAAGAGTAATAAATTTATTACTTTATTTTGTCTGGTTTGTATTTAAATATACTTAAAACTGAGGAAATATTCCTCAATTTTGGGGCGAAAAATTCTCGACGTGCGTGGCACGTCATTCCAGTGCAAGAGGTTAACCACTGATTGCGGACCATAACGAGTGACCAACGCCGTATACAATAATTCGTCGCTTTCTTTTTGAACTCGTCGGCATAATGTCACTTTAGATAGAAATTATTAAGAAGTAATAAATTTATTACTTTATTTCACCTGGGTTGTATTTAAATATACTTAAAACTGAGGAAATACTGCAATTTTGGGGCGAAAAATTCTTGACGTGCGTGGCACGTCATTCCAGCGCAAGAGGTTAACCACTGATTGCGGACCATAACGAGTGACCAACGCCGTATACAATAATTCGTCGCTTTCTTTTTGAACTCGTCGGTCACGCATAATGTCACTTTAGATAGAAATTATTAAGAAGTAATAAATTTATTACTTTATTTTATATTTAAATATGCTTAAAACTGAGGAAATATTGCAATTTTGGGGCGAAAAATTCTCGACGTGCGTGGCACGACATTCCAGCACAAGAGGTTAATAAGTAGAAATTATTTATATCCATTTAGGATATTTATAGGATATAACATAACACTCAAACGGCCAATGAGAGAATCCTGAGGCAAAGGGTTGAGAGAGAGAGAGAGAGAGAGAGAGAGAGAGAGAGAGAAAGAGAGAGGACACAGGCGCGATACTTACGGACTGGTACTTTCTTGGGGTCGACGGTGGCGAGACGTCCTTCGACCTTGTCCAGCCTCTGGCGCAAATTACTGCTCCGATCGGCGACGGCGGTCAACTCGGTGGTCAGCTCGGCGAAGATGTCCTCGGCGGTGGTGAGCAGCGAGGCGAGCTGCTTCAACGAGGTGGTCAACGCGCCGTTTGCCACCGCCTCCAACTCGGCGCCCACCGGCCAACCCTGCGGCGTCGATCCCGCGGGCACGTGTCCGCGGCACAAAAAACGCGGCTCCACCTTTCGCAGCACGAACGGCATGATTTCTCAATCGAAATCAACCGGCACACATTCACACATAACACCAGAGAGAGAAAGAGGGAAGAAAAAAAAGAGGAAAAGGTGGGGAAACCGCGAACCGCGCGCCGCTTCGAACGCGAGACACCGATCTAGCGTCACAAATTCGCGACGCTCATCGAGAGATCGTTACCGCCAGTGATCCAGCCAACAGTGGGATATCTGGCGGTTTCGAAGCGTGAGAACCCCTCCAACGGTCGTAACAGCTCCTCCATTTTCCGAACGTCGATGCTATTTCGAACACTGTACACTTTTAATATCGATATCGATCATATATAACAACAAGCACTGTGTCTCTCTTCACTTTGGAATTATCCGTCGAATCTTCTTACTTCGGATCTCGCATTCTTCCGGCGACTGGCACGACACATTGACCGTCACGCGAGTTGTTTCAAACGGAGACGCTGCTCGCGAGCGGAAAAAACGCGGGCTGACGGATACGAATTTTCGTGTGAAGTTTCGGTCGAGAGTGTCATGCTGTAAGAGGATTCTTGTGGATGAGGAAACGAAAGAAAGAGCGACGAACAACGCGTCCGCACGACGCGACGACGGTACACGAAGTGCCGGCCGGTCTGTCGCCGTGTCGCCGAACCGTTCTTCGGTTACACTCCCATTCATTTCGAACGCGCAGAAGGTGCCTTTCGCGCCACTTGGTGGTGGCCATCTTTGGTGGTTTAAGCATAGCTGCGAACCGATATCCGAATCTAACGTCGGTAACGTAATTTCAATTTTGTCGATAAGGAGGAATTTAACGAATTATGGAGTGCTGACGAACGATAAAGAGCTATCTAAAGGGAAAATTTTAGTAGCACGATAACACGGGGAACTGTATTTTCGTATTAGATATTTAAAAGATTCTAAAGTATTCTTATCATTTGATATCAATCCCAATGTTACCGATTCAGTAGAACAAAATGGCAACCATAGATGAGATATATATCTCATCTGTGTGGTAACACACATGCATTACATGTGTAGTGGTTAAATTCAAACGAAATTCAATATGAAATCACGAATAAGTCAAGAAAGAAATACTTTGTATTTGTAAATAAAACGTAGAACTATACTCGTTCATTGTAAATAATCTCTTTGAAATGTCTAAGAAAATCGAGTGGATTTATAATAAATTCATTATTCAATATTATGCATATCACGTCATTATGCATTACTATAGTTATATACTATTATGTATCATAGGTTATAGCATAAATTACAAGTTATAAACGCATACTCACGTCTGCTTTTGCTATAATGTATCAAATATCAGCGCCTATGCAGTCATTTCGTACTCCTTCAAAGCTCTACGGAATCACCCAACATTCTCTAAAATTTTGTAAAAAAAGACGTACAATAAAAGATTAGATACATATAGGATAATTAAGTGAAGTTGATAATGGTATTTAAGCACTTACAAAATAATAATGGGAAGTATTACGCAGTTAAAAGCACATACGTCTCGAACAAGATTACACATCGCGTCGCGACAACCGTACGATTTTCAATATTCGAATGACAAACGGCGCAGGCGCTCTACGAATAAGAGGAGTAGAAAGATGGCACTAATATCGTCGAACAAGAAGCGCGGTTTTTTGAAAAATTCAAATACTAATTCATATAAATTTGATTTGAAATACGATAAAAAATTTGGATTAATCTAAATTTGTACAATAATATTATAAATTAATTGATATTAAATTGAATATTAAATGATACAAAAATGCATATAAATTGTGGCATTACATTGATATACTGACATTAATTTTATCTATTATATATATTTATTGTAATACCATACCATGTATTGTTATATTAAGGATACAGGAAATCATAGATATTTATAGAAATATAAATATTTTGACATTAACGTAAAAACATTAACGTAAAAACATAAAACGTACTACAAAATAAATTGTATTTTATGATACAGAAGAGGAGATTAAAATAAAATTCAGACACGATTTTGATTAGGGTTTGAAATCCACAATCGTCTTATTTCATCATCATCATCATCATCATACATTATTCGCTTGTTACATCTATTTGATCTATTTGATATTATTACGCATTCATTATTGTAATATATTGTTATATTGTGATTCAATTTATTGCTTTGTGAGTTCACACTTGCAGAGTTCATCATTGCGTTTGAAATAGGGCAGGCAATTATCTTTGGCATAAATATCATTCTCGCTATCGAGGAAGCAGAAGGGCATATAATTCCAACAATTTGGCTGCTTTGAAAACTACGGATACAAAGAAAGAAACAAATACGAATAACTAATAAACAAAAAACTAACAAATATAGTTATAATTAAATTCGAAAGCAAATCAAATGAAGAAAGGAAGATGATACAAATCTGATTTCAAAAACTGAAATTTGTTTTATAGATTTCGTTAAAAATGAAGTACAAAGATAATATATATAATTACAGCATTTTTATAGGTTTTTTTAAAATAAACGATACATTTTATATTTGTGTGACATAGTTAATTTCGTAAGAAAAAAACAGAAAAAATTAATGATGTCATAATAACTTTTTAAATTTGCTTGTTGTCTTTTTATAATGAACGAGCTCGTACAAATAAATAATAAATATAAATATATGAGAATTGAACATTGATTTTTAAAAAATCGTGTTGTTTAATTAATCCACCTATACTTTTTTTTTTATTTATATTTTTCAAAAACAAAATAAATCACGAGTCGTCACAAGATTCTACGAAGTATCTGAAGAATTAATCATGTACTTATATAATGAAATTAAGACACGTATTAAGACATTTTGTGATAACTTCCGAGAGGTTCGTATAACAAACACAATTACCTGACAATGATCGTAAATTATCACCATTTTCGACGTTGAAACACATGTGTTCACTTTTTTATAGTAGTGACGACCAAAATCACACGGAAGTTTGATAGACATCCCATTAATAAACTCAATCAAAAAGCTCGAATGATCAGATGTTTCGTCGAGTTTCGTCACAGGTCCATTGCCCAGTACCAAAGCTTCAATTGTCGTGTTCAACTGCATTTGATCATACCTTCCGTAAGCGAAGATTTCTGGCATAGCGATGCTACTAATTAATAACATTGAGATAAGATACACCATGATCGAATGTATAATAAATCTTTCAAACATCGTGTCTTTTATTGAACCATTTATTTATGGCTGCTTCCTACTAATATAACAAGCACTTATCATCACGATAAAGTACGTATCTTCGTTTCTTGAAACATGACATAATTTTTTTAGTTTTTCTTTTTTCATCGATAACGTAAATAGAACAGTTATTAGGGACTTACGTGCTACACGTTGCGTTTATCACATTTCCTTCGTTGACGAGAATTCTCTCTCAAATTAAAAATGATATTTGATATCGGAAACAAAAATTGACACAAAGGAATTAATTTATTTCATATGTTCAATATTGATAAGGTTTGAGGATTCGATGTAGAAGCATTGTCACTGCTTGCAATTGCAATGAAAAGTTATCTCTACTGAGATTATATTTCAATTTTATTTAATATGATTAATACTGTATTGGTATTTATGAATTTATAAATTTATAAATTCGTATTATGACTATTTTTTTTTTCATTTATCAATATTTAGATATAAAATAACAGGAAATAATTTAAAAATCTTAACGAAAATGTTTTTTTGAAATAAAAGATGTATAAAAATGAATGATGTTATCGAGATTGGAAACATCGAGAATCATTTGAAGATTTTTATAAGAAAAGAAACAACTAGCAGGGATCACTTGTGCAATTGCAATCATATCAGTATTACTTTTCATTCTTCATTGATAAAGAAGTACAATAGCTAATAACATTTTAAACACAATCTTAATATATATTATTTTACATTTAAAATTTAAAAAATTAATTTATTTTATAATTCAATTGTTTTTACATAGTGCTAAAGCCAATTATAAAACCGGAATGATTTCTGATTAAATTTTGCAAAAAATTAAATATTATTTTGGGGAACGTTTCGATTTATTAACAAAAATTTAGAAATTTTTACATATAATTGATAAGTTAAATCATATATAAAAAGGAAATTAACAACAGATGCAATCATAAAGCATCATAAATTTTAATTATTCTTTTTGTTGCAAATTAAAATTCGTCTTTTTTTTATTTATTAGCTTCAGGCCTATATTTAGCCTATCTGCTGTAGTCGTACATGCTGTAACTTAAATGTAGAATACATCAGTATATACATAACAAATTACACGGTGTACATAAAAAAGGAAATAATGTATCGATATATATGAATACAAAGAAAATTAAGTAAAAAATAAGAATAATAGTGACATAAATAATGTTTTGAGCATATTCTCGAATTTTTTCTTTCTTGTAACGTTTATATTCTTATATTGTTAATTTTTATATAGTTGTCTATGATTTTCAACGGTTTGATTGTGTAGTCCCTTAAGAATTACTTAATTGCATATGGTGATTTTAAATATTTTTTTAGTTGATTTATCGTAGTTATTCTGTTTCCGGAATAGTTAGAGCAGAACCAGATCATGTGGTCTAGATCTTACATTTTGTGCCCACAATTGCAACAAAGTCAACCTTGGCTAGAGAAGAAGCAAGACTATAATGCCCAGTTCTTGCACTATTAATCCATACAGTCATGTGTATTTGATACATATCTGTTTGTTCTGGAATAGAGTGAGTCAGATTTCAGACTTTGTACAAGGCTCAGTGAATCTGTAGAGATTAAATAGAACTTAGTTGGATCTTTGTTGTTTATAATCTACTACTAATTCAACCGCTAGGTAATCTGCCATATAGACTAATACTATTTTAACCAAAGAGGTTGTGGAGATAGGTTTATTCTTTGGAATTATGCAAGCTGCTCTGGCATGGCCTGTTTGTAAATTTGGAACCATCAGTATAAATTGTTGTGTTCACTGTATTGGTTATTTAATATGTCTTGGAAGATACTGTTTGCTGCTGAGGATGAATGGGTAGCTAGATTGAAGTTTTCAATTATTACTGGTTGTTCGAATTCTGTTACATATAATTGTTGAGAATTGCACATTAGGTTTGAGAGTATTTTTAAATAGAGGATATGTTCTTCGAGTATTTGTACTGTTATTCTTACTAGAAGCTGTCTTTGTATGTGGTATTATATTTGGTAAACTTCACAGAACTAGTATTTTGTTCAGGGGTGAGAACTATTTGATATGATGTTTACAATATATCTAGATCCTAGGACTATAGTTTGATCTATAATACTGGGAATTTTAGATTCTGCTTGTATAACATTGGTTGGTGTGGTCCTCCTATAAGCTAAAGCTAAAATCTGATTGCTTCGTTTTGCAGTCCTATTTTACTTGTATGACTTATTAATAGAGCAAAAGCTAGGTATTACAGTCTTGCCTCTTCTCTAACTAAGGTTGGCTTGGTCCTGCAATTGTGGCCATAATGCAAGACCATATAATTTGGTCCTGTTCTAACTACCCTAAAAACAGAAAAAACATTACCAATCAATTTAAAAGATGTAACAAAACTATCATACATACGATCGAGAAATTCCTAACTGGCCTCATAATCAAACCGCTAAAAATCATAGATAACTATATAAAAACTAACAACATAAAAATATAAACCAAAAGAAGAAGGAAATCCGAGAACAAGCCAACAAGCTCATTATACTAATTTTAACATTAATATTTCTATTATTTTCTTTCTACTTTTTTTATCTTTTCTATTTTTTTACACTGTTGTATCAAGTCATTTTTCTTATATATATATATATATATATACCTTATCTTGTAATCTGATATGTATATATATATACCTTATCTTGTAATCTGATATGTATATATCGTTCTTGTATCTTACAAGTTTTATGTAGCAAGATTATATAGCACATAGACCAAGTATAGACCTGAGGTTAATAAAAAAAACCTTTTCCAAATTTTCATTCGCAAGAAAACCTAATTAAACGGATTATTTTGCGATCTTTGATGGTTGTATCTTCCTAATTATACCTTCAATTTCCTTCCTATATTCTATTTAACCTACACATACATACATAAAAATTCATAAAATCTACTCAATAAATCGTATCATATATATACTGAAATATTTAATTTCTCGCACAGTATATTCGAAATTTGATTCAAAATTATTCATGAACGTAGTTAAAAATACGCACAAAAGTCCCATGCCCAGTTTTAGATATAAATCTTTATTTAATCAATCAATTGTTAACAATTGTTGGACATCTCATCGAGGCAAATCACAGAGGGCGTACAAAACATTCTGATTTGTTTCTACATTGGTACTTTAAACCTGAGATACACATAAATTTTCCTTTAATATTTTATCTATTTTGTATATTTAATGATATTATTATAGCGCTGTCATATATAGTGAAATTAAAAATTTGAAATCAGATAGATTAATCAATATATACACACACGCTTGTGTTTCGTTGCACGATACATATGTGAATAGGATGTTCTTATTGGAATAATATTTAAAAAATAGTAAACAGTCTCAAAAGTAAAGTGTAATTAATTTATATAATTATATCATTATAATTATATTCCATAATATTAAAGATTGAGGTAAGATTAAGATAATATCGAAATAATTTTATTCTTATATGATTTCTTTCATTATATTACCTTATTATTTCTTTTATTCTATTATTTTTTACTCTATTATTTCTTTTTATTGATTTCAAGATGCTAATTATTTTATCATAATAATATAAATTAATTCTTTTTAACCTCAATAATTTTAACACTATATAACTTTATCTTTAAAGAATAATAAATAAATATAAAAGTTATTTATTTATGTTATATATTCATTAATAAATGACAAACGAATTAATGAATTTATATGAATATATTTTAAATTGCAGATGACAAAATTAATGGAGTGGCTTTTATTTGCTGTTCTATTTTTTAGTATATGGATTGCTCTAATTTCTGAAAATGTTAATTTACATTTTATCAAAGAATGGAAACAATTTGTCCTTTTTCTTCCACCCGTTGCTTTATTTGTATGTGGTTTATATGCAGCAACTGTTGTTTTATATAGGACTTTTACATTTAACAACTGTGAACAGGCAGCTATTGAATTACAAGAAGTAAGTTTGAAAATGCATATAATTTGTTCTATTAATATTATAGCGTATAAAAATTTTTTAATAAATATTTAATAAATTTTTTTTAGCAAATAGAAGAAGCTAAAAAAGATCTTCAGACTAAAGGTATTGTTTTAAAGTGCAAGTGAATATATTATTTTTATATACTATAAATCATGAACCATTCCATATGTAAAGGTTATATTTTTTATAATGATAAAACATTTAAATCATATGAATTTAAGGATTGTAACATAAGCAAGTATCTTTTAACGTATAGTAAGCATTAAATTTATACACATTAATAAGCTCATTGTGCTTATTGAATAAAAATAGATATCAATATAAATAGCTACTTTTTAACTTTCACAGAAATTTTAATGCGTTTATCACAAGTAAAACTTGATAAAAATCTGATCTTGTTCAATAATATTTTTATTCATAATATTTCATTATTTTTGGTGTTTTGACATAATGAAAACTACATTAAGACATTTTTATAACATAAGATTTATGTTATAAAGATTTAAGTTTAATTCTTTGCAACAAAATCTTTAAGGCAATTGCCAATTATTACTGCATAATAATAAACATTTAATCTTACAACAAAACATCAAAACATATAATTTATTTATGTAATCTGTATATTCTTACATACATATGTATGTATAATAACATGAAACTATATCCTAGTTTTCAAAATTTAACTTGTTTTAATTATACTTATGCATATAAAAAAAGGGATACTGATATATTCATTTGTGCCTAGACTCATCATTTTTATTTATTAAATATGCAATTTTGCAATAGTATTTGTTTTACATTGTGCTATATTTCTAATAAAATTTTAATATCAGTACTAGTATCTTAAAAATTCGAACGATTCCTAATAAGTTACATATTACTATATTAAGGCTACAACATATTGAATGCATTTTCATAATATTAATAATCTCATTGCCTTCACTTTTATAGAAAGTTAATTATAAATTTTCTTTATCGATTCATAGTTCTTGTAAGTCACCTTGTGTTTATCTAAGATATTTCATATATGATTGTTTCTTATTAGCTAGTTATAAGTTATTTGAGTTTTTTTTTTAGATGAAGAATGGATTGATATCGAGGTCAAAGCAAATTTAAAACAATATATGTGTATATGTTACTTAAATTTTCTTTTTTTTTTTTTTACTTAAGAATTTCTTACATTTCGTTATTTTGTGACAAATGAAATGACTTATAATGTGTTATTAATGAATAACTATTTTCACCACTTCTGTTTAAAAAATACGAGACTTTTTTATACATACATACATAGGCGCAAGTTATACGCAAGTACACACATATATACATATGCAATCATACATATACGGATGCACTTACATAATTTTTATATTAGAAAGCCTATCAAATGTACAAAATATGCTTGTCATGTGTACATACATATATTTTGAATACACATATTCTTGTCGTGTACACAAATTTATATGTATGTGTAATTGTACAATAGCTTTAACATATAAATACAACAAAGTATTTATATTTTTATATATCAATTAAACAAGCAGGCTTTCTCACATAAAAATGTAATTACAGTGTTTTATATATTCAAAAAACAAAGTTTTGCCAATGAGTAATTTTCAGACTGCAAGGATGGATTATAACACTTCTGCAAAATATTAAATTTCAATTTTAAAATAGTTAAAACATAGAGATTACTTTGAAACTAACAATTTAAAACTACAAAGAATTTAAAACATGATTTATGTATTTTCATATATAATCTTAGTAAATTTTTATCATTTATCAAATGCCGACAAAAAATTAACGTATAACTAAAGGATTAATATAATAATATAAATATCTGTGCATACTTATGTACAAAGTAAAGATGACCAGTTCAAAATAACAAGACGCCTGTGTAATTACCCACCCTATATCAGTCCTTTAACTTCTTATAATCAATAAAGTGCGTTACTTCAGTCATCGAGACTTTGTGATAGCAGAAAGTTAGCAGCAAGATTTTCGTTTTTTTCACACGCAAAATAGGCTTGTACAACTAAATGCTCCGGAAATCCTAGTGCCTTCAACCTCTCAATAGCTTCTCTATCCTGTGGTGTTACCTGAATTACAGAAGCTTCTACATCTGATCCTGTTCCTATACCTGCACCGAGACCACCACTTATACCACCAGGAGCAGTTGCTGGCGTAACATTAGATGCAGATACAGGCGTAGTTCTTCCTCCTGTACCACCAGTAGTTTCTACTACTCCAAAGTAAAATATATAACATAAGAATATTTTTAAACATATGAATGAAGATATATTTATTTTACCAGTAACTCACCAGGTTCATTAAGCATACGCACAAATGCTTCTTGATTTTGTGAAATCAGTTGTAATAATGCAGGATTAGTCTGACCAATTTGTTGTAGAACAGCATTTAATAACTGAGGATTTTGTTGAATGACTTGACGCATTTGTTGAAATTGTGGTTGCATTCTCAAAAATGCTAGTGGATGTTGACCATGATCTTGAAGTTGTTCTTGTGCTTCAAGTTGATCTTCTGGTAAATCTTCAAAAAGCTGAGCTGGTATTCCTGTTAAAAGGTACTCAACAGCCCTATCAGGATTGTTGAAACTTGCTCTCAACGCTTGTTCAACTTGTTCACGTTCGTATCTAACATAAATAAATTATATTAAATAAATAAATGATAACTTGAGAAAAATATAACAATTAAATGTCTATAATTTCTTTTTTTATTAAGCGTATACCTACCCCATATCCACAATATTGTTCACCATAGTATTATAATCTTCACCCATCAACAAGGCACTTTCAGCTTGACCTCCAACACATCCAGCAGTAGTATTTGCTTCAGATTGCTCTTGTACAGTGTTAGCAGGGTTCGATACACCCTGAACATTAGGATTTGAACTAAGTTGTGCTACTGAGCTACGGCAAAAAAACGTATATTAAAAATAATTTAATATAGTATCTGCTATTTATGTATACTATTTTTGTGATAAATTAATCTAAGAAATGAAATTATAAAGAAATAATCTTTATTATCAATAAAGAAAATTATTAGAAAATATTTCCAACTTTTGATTATTATATCTGACAAATGTTCTTTAAATGTATTTTTCTCATAGTCAATACCTAGTTGTACTACTTTCTTCTTTATTATCTGTACTTGTAGTATTTTCTTCTTCAGTCGTTGTATGGCCATTACCAGTCTTAAGTTTTGTTACCATAACAACTATAAATTTCTTTTCATCTATATTATATTCTGCTAATGGATGATCATCTGTTAATATTTTGCCTGTGAAAATAATGCTATACATTAATATATAACCATCATTATAATAACAATAACATTAATGAAAAGTAACATAATTTGAACATCTTGCATTTTTGTATATAATGGTTATTAAAATAAATTTAACGAAAAAGACTAATTAGCTTATAAATTGGCAAATACATTAAAAAATTTACAATTAAGCGAGAATAAGGTTATGTAAGTCATATCGCTCACCAGCATATATTAACTTTTGATATTTAGCAGGAAAACCTTTTTGAGTTTCGATCTTTTGTTTCAAATCTCTTACCTGAAAAAAGATATAATTAAAAATCTATTATATTTGAAAAGCTACATATTTTATATTTACTATATTATACTTACTGTTTGCGATGGATCAATTTCTACTGTAAACGTCTGCTGCTGCAAGTTTTTTAGTGTTATAATCATATTGTAAGATGAAGAATTAGTTATACGTCGTCAATTAATAAAGGAAACTTTGGAGGATCTGGTGTAATAAGGGTGGAAAGATGTTTTGCTAAAGATCTTTTTAGCGATGAGTCGGCACTGCTTAAAGCAACTTACAAATGCTTAACTCAGGGTAGTATGCAGCAGTGAAAACATATGATGACATAAAGCAGTATTTCCAATGTGAACAGTTGAATGCGTACGGTATGTACTAAAATAAGACTGAATTAGTTCAAATTAATCTAACTAATTTAATTTATATTAATTAATCTTAAATATATTTATATATAAATATCTCTATTATTAACCAAAATTTTAATTTCGATGTTATTAGATTTGATTGGTTTTAATAATAAAATTGCATAAACAAAAAAGTATAAAAACAAAATATAACTGTCACATCTACAAATTAATATCTTCACATAATTTAACTTAACAAATAAATGCAGAAAAACATGAATAAATATTATTGTGTTTCTTTTATTTATATATTTATACACTTGCAGTGACTAGAGAATAAAACTAAAAATACTTCACAATAATGTTATAATAATACATTATACATCGAATAAAAATTTAAAATGTATTAAGATACACAAAAATGGTATTGTTTTTATTTAAACATTTTACATCAAAAATATCTTTTATGTAATTCATATTAATTCAATAATAATTAACTAACTATAGTACTTATCATTTTCATTTTCTAATTAAGTTAATTTTTCAATGAAATACTTCAACTTGTTAAAATTCTACAAATGTCAAGAATTCCTGTTACCTTTTTTAATAACTTTATACCATTTTTAATAATTTATTTTAAGTATCCCAATACATATACAAGAAAAATATATAAATACTTATAATCATAATTACATTCTTGCAATATAATTATGTATATTTTCTTATACATAAATATTGTATAAGATACATATATGTCCATTTTTCATATTCTTCATAATAACAAAGAATTATGTTTCTTCTATAAATAATGATTGAAATAATAACAACAAAAATACATTGAAATATCTATTAGGAAAAGACATAAAGTGATAGACAATTATTTCATTTTTTTTTCTTTTAATATAAACTAAACTAATAATCTTTTTAAGTATGCATTTTCTAGTTAAATTAGATTGTTTTATATTGTCACTTACAAATTAAATGCAGAATATTCAGAATGTTCTTCAAGTTTTATAACAATTATGGATAATTATTCTTGATATGGTGTATTTGGAGTCACATTGATCATCTCTGTTACACTAAAAAATATATATCAAAATTATATAATGAAATAACATGAAATTAAGGATGAAATATTAATATAAAATTATTAAAGTATTTATTAAATAGCAAGCTTATTTTTATAAAAAGAGGCAAAAAAATTCAATAATTCGATGCAAACGAAATGTTTTGATTAATGAAATATATCATACAATGATAAATGTTTTATGTCTTACCTTCTAAACAGTTACATGCTGTAGTTTTAATTACTTTTATATATTGTATACTTAAATGCAAAAATATAACTTCAAATAATTAATCTAAATGTGTATAACAATATATGATAAAATATATATAAAAAAATGATATTGATTTCTATATTAATTAATTTTCTAGCTACATTACTTTAAAATAATATAATATTAACAAATATATGTATAACATACAAATAAAGTGTTTACATTTATGCAATGAATAAAGCATATTATGTTTATGAAGCAAATTATGAAAAAATTTAAATTATTAATATGAATAATTAAAATGAATTATTAATAAAAAAAATATGAATTAGTCATAATTATATGAAAATTTTGAAAAGTCAAAAATAAAAAATAGTAGATATGATACATAACTACATGCATATAGTTGGTCTGTAACTCATAAAATATAAATTAAATATAAAAGATAATCATTATGAATTAACAAGATTTAGTACATAAAAAGATATTTATCAAGCCACGTCATTTATGAGACATCAATTAATATTCTTGCAAGACAGACATAACACAATACACAAACACTTACAAGAACAATTATGGTGCCCTAAGCATACTTTGTTGCAGTCATCTTTACATTAGTTTGCTGTATAACATACATTATATAATGTTATATAAGTTTATTACTAAATTTAAATTCAAAGTATATAATAATATGAACATTGATTAAAAAATTAATTAGAACAAAAAAGTATTTTTAATTTTTGACTAAATATTTTCAACCTTTTTTAATCTATTATATCTGAAATAATATAACTGAAATTTGTATTATTTTCAAAATTGTTAATACCTTATTAGATTATAGTGATTAATAAATGCACTTACTGTCAAGCTTACCGCTTATTATCAACTATTATAAGAAAGTAAATATAATAAACTTGAAATTAAATAAATTTATTATTTACTAACTATTTTACTAATTTTTTAAAATAGCTCGATAGTAAATGCAATAATATGATGAAGGCAGATGAAAAAGATATATTTCTTTTCTATCAATATCATAAAACTTTTGTTAAAAAAAATTATTTTTGAAGCAATTGCATTTTAAAATTCTTTTAATTAAAGCTTCTTTAAGCACAACACCACTTAGTAAAAAATGAAGAAAATATATAATTTAATATGTAAATTAATCTTTACCTTTTAGAACATTTGATGTGTATTATTAATAATGTGATGCCTAACAACAAACAAATACATCCTACAACTATATAAGCAATACCAAGAAAAGGATTTTTCCCACCAAGAAGAGAAGTAGTGCTCAAAATCATTCTTTTCCTACCATCAAAGGCAGACACAGGATATGCTATAAAAAAATAAGTATAAATTTATAAAATTTATAAAATTATTTTTAACTTGTAATTTATATTTACTTACTGTAATCAATGGTAAGTGTATAATTCCCTGCTAATAGACCTTCAGTAAAACCATTTTCCGTATGATTTACTCTGCGGTATAGTTTTCTAAAAGTAGGCAAAGCAGCAGTTCTCATCCAAACAATGAGGTCCTCATTTTGAAAACCATTATTGCTTTCATCTTCTTCATCTAACTGATAAATATATTTAGTCCAATTCTTTGGTTTTGCAAAATTCTGAAATGCTTCTTTTAAATTACCCTCAGGATTTCTAAATTTAATATTTTTATCTGAGGGCCAAGCTATACCAGTTTTTAATAATGGTACATATTTCTCATGTCTTTCAGAATATAATGTTAAATTATCACTAAATAATGAATTAGCAATAGCACCACATGGTACGATAGCTTTTTCTCCATCATAAGCAAATGGTTCACAGTCTGTAGAAACAACATCACTCAATTTTCCTAATAGTTGATTATCGTCTCTTGATTTTACATATCGCCTGTGATTCTGATAGAAATTAGTCAAACCATAATACATATAAATTTTTCCATTAAAATCATATGGTAATGTGAAATTTAATTTACAACGACAAGGCTTTGAACGATCTTCTGCTATAGCATCTGCACATTTAACAGGTATTCCATTTCCACGAAATATGTCTATAGAATTACAATCTGTATAGTCTAAAATATATTCTTTAACCTGATCAGAAAAATAAAGCAATCCAACTCCAACTGGTATAAAAGCAATCCCAATTACAAAAAATGTTGGTAAAACAGTTCCAGCAGTAAGTATTGGTTGCCAAGCAGGTAAACGTTGCTGTTTAAATGCACTGTCTGTTTAAATATAAAACATTTTATTTTTATTTAAAAAATTAACTTACTATAAATATATATATTAAACTTATAATTTATATAATTATATATAATAAAGAAAGTAGAAATTAGACGACTATTTAAATAATATATATAATATTTGATATATATAATTTTAATATAAATAAGAAGGCAGTTGTTCTTTCTACTATTATATTATATTTTTTTCTTCATTTTTACATATATACGCATATATCAAATAAAACATTGCCATTGATATAACCTAACAAAGTTAATTTTCTTATTATAGACTTACCCGAAGGTTTTTTCGTTTTAGGTAACGAACTAATTTCGCTAATAGAAGTCATACTTCTTGTTAAAATAGTAATTTATTTTTTTTCGAGATTTTCAACAATTTAACACGAACATTTGTAAAACCTTCAAGACATGAATTATTTGTAAAACTTCTTTAACGACAAACCATAGATAAAACGAATAAATTAAAAATCAAACACATACACTTTGAATTAAACGTTTTATCAAATTAATAGCTAAATTAATAGTTATTTCAAAGTAGTTATATATTTATTCATTATAAATTCGTTGTATTTTGTTACGTTAAATAATTGTTAGTTCTCTATAGTTTTCTTTTCAAGGAACTTTTTTCGGTGTGGTAATCCTACGCTAGAGAACAAAATTTAATCAATGTTACATAAAAAATATTTTCATGAAAATTTTTATAATATAGAAAAAATATATTTAATAATACATCCTACTTATTGTTATATACTAATAATATTTGTTTTTGTTTTTATAGATAGATATTAAATTTTTAGAAGTCATGATAATTATTGTTTTAATTGGAGAAGAATCAAAATTTGAAATGTATAAAATATTTTTTATTTTCAAAAAATATTTTCTTACCCTATATATTTATAAATTAAGAAAAATACGTTGTTCGAGGTGAACACGTAGTTATGATAGGTCAATAGAGAAATAGGGAAGGGGAGCAAAGGCGTGAAGAAATAAGCACTTTAAATTATAGACTGAAAGCGTAATTTATTGTAAAAATAAAATCATGTACAAACTGTACAAGGGAAATAAATGACACAGACTTGAAAAAATTCTAGGACTTTATTACTCATTTTTTAACCTCTCCCATTTCTGCTATGTTGAAACTTTCTTTAGGAGAAGTATCTGTATAATTATCAAAATCGTATTCTCAATTTTGTCAACAATTAACATAATGTACATGTAACTATTGTGATTTATATGGAATTCTTTATAATGATATTTATAATGTGCAAATAGCATACATTAAAAATGCCTATGATAATGAATATTATTTGCACACATTAATTGCTCTTGCATAGCAGAGAATTATTAATTATTTTATACTGATACTTTAACCTGAGAAAGAAGCAAGGAAGTCAGTGACAACTTGCTTCAATTTTGCATCAGAAGCTTCACTAATTGTGTTGTCTTTAGCAATAGTATTTAAGAGGTCTCGTTGATTAGTTCTAAAAATATGTAAATACAAATTAACAATAAATACAAATATAAAGAAATATATTTAAATAAATATGTATGTGAATACCTAATATGGGCAAGGAATTCTTTTTCAAAAGCTGTAATTTTAGTGGGTTCCATTTTATCAAGATATCCTCGGACACCACAGTAGATAACAGCTACTTGTTCTTCAATAGCCATGGGTACTAAAAGCATTAATAAATATATAATTTTTTTTATTTTAAGTTTCATTAATCTTTTTTATAATTTAAATTTATTATGTATATTATCAATTTGTACCATATTGTCCCTGTTTTAGAAGTTCTGTCAATCTGACACCACGATTCAGCAATTGCTGAGTTGCAGCATCCAAATCGGAACCGAATTGCGCAAACGCTGCTACTTCACGATATTGAGCCAATTCCAACTTCATAGAACCAGCAACCTATTAAACGAAATATAAAGGCTATTTTATGAATGCTCTGCTAAATCTTTACATACTCTTAAATTTATTAGAAATATGTAGCACCTGTTTCATAGCCTTAGTCTGGGCAGCAGAACCGACACGAGATACTGATAAACCTACATTAATCGCAGGACGAATACCCTTATAAAACAATTCAGTTTCTAAGAAAATTTGTCCATCGGTAATGGAAATGACATTAGTGGGAATATAAGCAGACACATCACCAGCCTGTGTCTCAATAACAGGCAAAGCTGTTAATGAACCACCTCCCAAACTTTCATTCATTTTGGCCGCTCGTTCAAGAAGACGAGAGTGGAGATAGAATACATCACCAGGATAGGCTTCACGACCTGGTGGTCGTCTTAACAATAAAGACATTTGTCGATAGGCAACAGCTTGTTTCGATAAATCGTCATAAATAATTAAAGCATGTTTTCCATTATCTCTGTAAGAAAATTAGTAAAAATATTATTTGTATTATATTTAAAATTATATAAAAAATAAAATTTTATCTAAGGAAATTATTTTATATGAATATACCTGAAGAATTCTCCCATTGCACATCCAGAGTATGGAGCCAAATATTGAAGAGGCGCTGCATCAGAGGCAGTTGCAGAAACAATAATAGTATAATTAATAGCACCACTATCTGTCAAACGTTTTACTATTTGTGCAACAGTGGATCTTTTCTGACCAATAGCAACATAAATACAGTACAACTTTTTCTTCTCATCTCCAGCATCATTAAATCGTTTTTGATTGATAATTGTGTCAATAGCAAGTGCAGTTTTTCCAGTTTGTCTGTCTCCAATGATTAATTCACGTTGACCACGACCAATAGGTACTAAAGAATCTACAGCTTTAATTCCAGTTTGCATAGGTTCTCGCACAGACACCCTAAAAAAAGAAATATATATATGTAACATAAAGTTAGAAAGAACATTTAATATTCTATATAAAAAATAAATTTGAATACCTAGGAATAATGCCAGGTGCTTTAGTACCAATACGGAATCTCAATTTGCTATTAAGTGGTCCTTTACCATCAATAGGATTACCTAATGCATCTACAACACGTCCCAGCAATTCTTCTCCAACCGGAACATCAACAATAGCTCCAGTACGTTTAATAATGTCACCTTCCTTAATGTGTCTATCATTACCAAAAACGACAACACCAACATTGTCCGGCTCTAAATTTAAAGCCATGCCTTTTAACCCTGAACTGAATTCCACCATCTCATCTGCCTGAATATTTTTCAGACCATAAACACGGGCAATACCATCACCAATGCTAAGCACTCTTCCAGTTTCCTCAAGATTGGCCTATAGATTATGTAACATTTGATTGAAATTAATATTACTTACATATAAATTGTTCATTTTAAACATTAAAATTTATTGTTTTACCTTAGGGGCTGAACCAAGAATACGTTCTTCCAAAATGGAAGAAATTTCAGCAGAGCGTCGACTGCAAGATACATGGTATTTACAAGAGGCTATACTAAGGGGCCATTTGATCTGTAATATAAAATTAATAACGAGTTATTATATACTGTGAAAACATGCTACCCAAATACTTATTATATAACTTGGCACTATTCTGTTTATGTAATCTATTGCATAGAGAAAAAATTTGTGACACATATCCCAATTGTCATAAAATTTCAATAAAAGCAATTGTAATTAATAAGAGACGTTTTATTTGTCCAAAAATAAAAATGAATATAAGCAATTGCTTGTACGAGTACGTATGGTTATTGCAAGATGAAAAATGTCGGCACGTTCCATTTAAATATTTTCTCATAAACAAATTATTATTTTTTCATATTACCTGAATTGTATTATTCGGCAATTGTCTCGCAATTGAAGATACCAAACGTAAGGAGAGAAGAGCCATTTTGCTATAACACAAGCCCGTTTACCGGACTACGAATTCTAAAACGAAGAATGATCAAGATAGGGGCGAGCCGAGGAAATGTCTCGCATAGCCCCACTCTGATATCCCTACCGGACAGGAAATCGATATCCATCGACCTGCGCATAACCTCGTATCCAGATACATGTACTACTTCAGAAATTTAAGTTTCTCATATTTTTCAGCATATAAAAGATATATTATAATAGAAATTTCAAACAAATTTTTTTTGACGTATAAACATAATTAATGAACTTTATAACATATAAATTTGAATACAATAAATTTTGGATACGAGGTTACCCGCATCTATCATCGCCTTTGAAGAAACAATTGGCGCGAAATTTTAAATTTAAAATACATATTGTATAACAATTGCATATTTGTTATAAAAATAATGTTATATTAGAGCAATCATTTTTACACACATAAATATGTAATTAACGTTTGTGATTAAAATACAAACAATTAATAGATAGTAACATTAAGTATTATTTTTATAACTGTCACATATTTGTTTTCATAATGCAAAAATATATATTTAATATTTTATTTAGATTTTTTAACATATTACAAATTTCATAACTCTGTAAATTAAGAAATAAATAATTCGTTGCTTAAAGTACTATATATACCACTTAAGTATATTATGATATATACTATCTAGATCTGTAAAACTAATACAATATTATAATAATTTGAAACTTTTCTTTAATTAAATTATTAAAAGAAAATGTAAAAAATTCACACGTATGTTCAGTTTCTCTTTATAGATATCTCTTTATAGATATTTATTACTCTTACGACATTTTCTGTTCAGGTTAAGTTGATTAAACACGAAAGCATCACTGCACCGGCGCTAAAGTTTGTTATTGTTGTATTGTATTGATTATTGGTCGTAACTGCCTTTAAATGATGTATTAACATAAATTTTTTATATAATAGCAAATGAAATAATTATTGAAACGGAAGTGAAGGGAACAAAAAAAAATATATTCATGTGGAAAAATATCTATTGTTTCATTAATAACTGCATTTACACTGCAGTTATTTTTCGAAATCGATAGGTGATAGGACAGGTAACTCAATGTTTACACTTTAAATTAACAAGGAATTGTTTTAATTAAAAGTCACATTTTAGATAAAACAAAGCTGATTTGTAACAACATTTATACAAAAATGTTATTTTACCTAGTGGAACAATATACTTTCTGTTAAAAAATATTTTATATTATACAAATAGAAATATGGATTCTGCCACTGAATCAGAACATATAGAAAAATTAATAAAAGAAGCCGAAAGTTTAAAAATAAAGTTAGAAGATGAACGACAGAAATTGAATGATATTACTCGTAATTATTAATTTTTAATCTTTGTGTCATGATTTCTTGAAAATTTATAGGAAAATCAATTATAGTAAAATATAATAATTAATATTATATTTCAGTTGCTAGTGTAGCAGATAGACTTGAAACAATTACTTGTATCAATGTGAAACCACGTCGTGTGTTAAAAGGTCATCAAGCAAAAGTTCTTTGTTCAGACTGGTCACCGGATAAACGTCACATCGTATCTTCCTCACAGGTCAGAATATACTTGAAGCTTTCTATTTTAACTTTTAAAATATTCCTTAATATAAAAATGGCTTCAGGATGGTAAAATGATAATATGGGATGCTTTTACAACAAATAAAGAACATGCTCTTACTATGCCAACTATCTGGGTTATGGCCTGTGCTTATGCTCCAAGTGGTACTCTTGTTGCTTGCGGGTATTAAATGTATTTGAGATTTATAAATCAACAATTATTATTGGTTGACATGTTAAATGTATCTATTTTTTGCAGAGGATTAGATAATAAAGTAACTGTATATCCTTTGAGCCAAGAAGATGATGTATCAACCCGTAAAAAGACTGTTGCTACACATACATCTTATATGTCCTGTTGTGTATTTCCTAATAGTGATCAACAAATTCTAACGGGTAGTGGAGATAGTACTTGTGCTTTATGGGATGTAGAAAGTGGACAACTGTTACAAAGTTTTCTTGGTCACTCGAGTGATGTCATGTCTATTGATTTAGCACCAAGTGAAACTGGTAACACATTTGTTTCTGGTAGCTGTGATAAAATGGTTTTAATATGGGATATGCGGACTGGTCAATGTGTTCAAAGTTTTGAAGGACATCAATCTGATGTTAATTCTGTATGTAAAAGTTTATTTTTATTATGCATTAAAATAGATTATATTGCCAAAATAAGTTAATACTATTATAAGAAAATGATTTGCATCATGTTATGTTGAGTTTAGGTAAAATTTCATCCAGGTGGTGATGCAGTGGCAACGGGTTCTGACGATGCAACTTGTCGTCTTTTTGATTTACGTGCAGATAGAGAAATAGCAGTTTATGCAAAAGAAAGTATAATATTTGGAGCAAACGCAGTCGATCTAAGCGTTAGTGGACGTTTACTATTTGCTGGTTATAATGATTACACTGTAAATATATGGGATACTCTAAAATGTCAACGAGTTGCGTTTTTGTATGGACATGAAAATCGAGTATCTTGTTTACGAGTTTCTCCAGATGGAACTGCCCTTTCTACTGGAAGCTGGGATTCAACTCTACGAGTTTGGGCTTAATTTTAATAAAATCACATCTACTTAAAAAAGTACTAACTTGCCATATTGTTAAATAAGAGTTTCTGTGCAGTATATATATTTTAAAAATTGAGTTTCTAAATAAGAGTTTCTGTGCAGTATATATATTTTAAAAATTGTATAATGACGTTATATTTTGTTTTTAACTAAAATATTTTAAACTGATAAGATACATTAATATTGTAACATAAAAATATTATTATAATTATTATACAAACATCGTAGAAAATAAGTGGAATTAGAAATCGTGATTGTCACGATTATAACAATGTGATAGCTTAATCATTTTTAGGCTGGACCTAATTTATAGGAAATTCTGCAAATAGAATATTTAATCAGATACAGTATTATCTTGTATAAAACTTAATAAAACTTTAGTTCGTGCATATTTTATATTATTTATCATTTTTTCCAGGTATCCTTAATTTCAATTACATAAAGAATTGTAAAATAATACAAATTTTTCAATCAGCTGGTCGGTTACCAAATTGTAGTAGTGCTCTTGAATCTATATGTGCATATATGCATGTACATATAGTACGCGAATGCCTGACGGTGCACTTTATGTACGTTAATAATCGCTAGTAAAAAAAAATATATCGTAAATTAAGTTCGTCAAGTGATATAAATTTACAAAACCAAACATATTTAAATAAAAAAGAAGAAATGCCTCAATATTCGAGTATGTATTTAAAAAATTCAAATTAGATAAAAAATCTAACCTTAAATTTCTTTATTTAATTTTATATCGAACAGTTTTCAGTATTTGATATATGAAGTATTTTGTTTTAGTTAAAGTAAAATGGGGAAAAGAATTCTTTCCTAATGTTGAAGTTAACACAGATGAAGAACCAATGTTGTTTAAAGCACAACTTTTTGCACTGACAGGTGTACAGCCAGAAAGGCAAAAAGTTATGTTAAAAGGAATGACATTAAAAGATGATGATTGGGGCAATATCAAATTAAAAGATGTAAGATATAATAATGTTAATATTTTTATTGATAATAAATATATTTTATAATGTATCTTTAACATATCTAATAGTGTAAAACTTTATTTTTAATTTTAATTTTTTTTATAGGGTATTACTGTTTTAATGATGGGTTCTAAAGAGGAAGATGTACCAGTAGAACCAACTGAAAAGCCATTATTTTTAGAAGATATGAACGAATCTGCATTAGCTACTGCTTTAGATTTACCAGCTGGTTTGACGAATTTAGGAAATACTTGTTATCTTAATGCAACGGTACAGTGCCTAAAAACTGTTCCAGAATTAAGAGATGCTCTAAAGAATTTTTCAGGAGGACTCGCAGCTCCTGGTAGCTCATCACTTGTACCTGCACAAAGTATAACTGCTGCATTAAGAGATTTATATGATAGTATGGATAAAGGATCATCTTTGCCACCTGTTGTCCTTGTTCAAATGATGCATTTAGCATTTCCAAGATTTGCTGAAAAATCTGAGCATGGTGGATTTCAGCAACAAGATGCCAATGAATGTTGGACTGAGCTTATTAGAATGTTGCAACAAAAATTACCAGCAAAGGTTATTTAGTGACTCAACATTTTTAAAACTATGTTTTAAATGTTATATTTATATATAAAAATGTTATTCATATCTGTTAAATAATCATAGGAAAATCCTGTTGCCTTAGAAAATAATGGACAAAATTACAAGCCTCGTTCATTGATTGAACAATATTTCGGAGGAACATTTGATACAGAATTAAAATGTATAGAATCTGAGGATGAACCTCCTACTAAGGGAAAAGAAGAGTTTTTACAATTGAGTTGTTTTATTTCAACAGAGGTTAAATACATGCATTCTGGTCTTAGAAATAAAATGCAGGAACAAATTACAAAAATGTCATCAACTCTTGGCAGAGATGCAGTATATACGAAAACGGTAAAAATTATCACGTGATATAAAGTTTATGTTTTGGATATTGAAATTTTTATTTAATAAAGATAATATATTTTACAGTCAAAAATTAGCAGATTGCCAGCATATTTAACGATTCAATTTGTGCGTTTTTACTATAAAGAGAAAGAAGCAATTAATGCAAAAATTCTCAAAGACGTTAAATTTCCTCTTGAATTCGATGTTTTTGAATTATGTAGCAGTGAACTTCAAACTAAACTAACACCAATGCGAGAAAAATTTAAGCAACATGAGGATCGTTTGGTGGAAGAATCACGTAACATAAAAAATAGAAAAGATAAAACAGAAAGTAAAAAGAATGTCAAACAAGAACCATTTTCGTTTCCAGATGGTAATAAAATTATATAAAGATTAAAAATCAATGAAATATAAATATTTATATTATATACATTATTATAATTACAGATGTAGGATCAAATAATAGTGGCTATTACTCATTACAAGCAGTTCTAACACATAGAGGACGATCAAGCAGTAGTGGTCATTATGTAGCATGGGTTAGACAAAAACATGACACATGGTTAAAATGTGACGATGAAACTGTTAGCGCTGTAACTAGCGAAGATGTATTAAAACTTAGCGGTGGTGGCGATTGGCATTGTGCATATGTTCTTTTATATGGACCAAAAATTTTAGAAGTACCTGATACAGATGACAATGATGATTCATCTGCTAAGTAATATTCTATAATCAACACGTAAAGACTAAAACAAATGGGACACAATTTCCATCTTACATCTGTTAGACAAATGCATTTTTTTTTTTTTTTTATACAAATGAATGTCAATATAATTTCAATGTTAAGGTACTACAGAATACTATTCGTAAAATCAATGGCAGTTATTTTTTACTAAATTATAAAAATCTAATAATGCATTATATATATCATTTCTGCATAATGTGAGTACACAAAAGCTACACGTTCATTGGTTCTGTACGCTTATAAATACATGGTGATAACGAATCTTTGAATTATACAAAAATACATAATTATTGTAAACCATTAAATTGTTCTTTTATAACATTACAATAAAATTGCAATTAAAATTAGAATCATTTTTATTAATTTGTCAATATTTTATTTACATTAATTTCATTGAAAGTATGTTAAAAATATCATACGAACATATATAGTATTTTGACAATGATATGTAATGTAAATATTAAATTAACTATTTCATATTCAAGAGATATTAATATTGTTAATTATCTTTATAATTTCATGTCATTTGTTACTATTTAATGCAAAAAATTAAATATTACCAAAATATTAAAGAAGAAACATGAATAAAATTAAATTTTTGTCCCTTGTTCAAATTTATTAAGATTTTTATTTTTTATTATTTTCATCATAATATTGGATATTTTATTAAAAGTATTACTTTTGTGACATCGAAAAATTTTGTTAATTTTATATTTTTGTACAATGCATTATAAATAATTCCATTTTATTTTACTAAAATATATTTATACATATTTGGATTAAACTGCAGTATAAGAAGATTTTAAATTTAATAAAAAGTATTTAAAGTAAATATTGATTTATCTATAGCTATCGAGATATAATTGGATAGAATCTGATAATGTAATAAATGGAATCTAATACATAGATATATATGTACATACATGTATATGTAATACATGTATATACATGTACATACATGTATATATAATCTAATACATACAAAACAAGATACGATATATTCTTGTATGTGTACATGAAAAAATAAAATAGATAGATTGAAATAAGCAAGCAGTGCAGCTACAGATACGAATCGTTACGGTTCCCAGTTTTATATTTTTCGCATAATTTATCAAAAAATACCGTGTAGTTTACATTTGAAAAATTACAATCACATGAATGTATAAATCAAATTGTTCGCAAAAATGCATTCCAAAACATTTCGTAGTAAAACCATTCAACATTTCTTCAGTAGATTTCTCAGGTAATAATTAAATTTTATACACTAATAAATGGTATTATTTAAATGACAAAGAATCTGTATAACATTATGTATTTTATTGTATGTATAATGTAAGATCATTATAATGTTATGCAATGAACATTTTGAATTTAGTATATGATTCTTGTATTAAATATTGTACTATATTTGAGCATTTGATAGTTTTGAAAAAATTTTAAATATTTATATATTTATATGAATCACGCAAAACTAACTAGCCTGTGTATAGTATAGTGTTTCTTTTTTCAATTTTTTTTATTTTAATAAATAATTATTACTAATTTATACAAGGAAGATATTATAATCAATACATTAATAATTATTTTTTAGATTTCAATATTAATTTTGATAAAAATATCATTTAATTATATAATAGAAGCTTAAAATTCAATTTTCAAGAAACACAACGATTTTTCTCGCTATGATCGTGAAGCATGAAACGTTAAAAGATATACAGAGATATCATTTTGATATCTTTTACAATCAAATAGCTAAACATGTAAAATTTTTTTTTTGTTATAGTTATTTTTTTTCTATTAAAAAGATATTTAATTATTCTTTTATGTTAATTAATTACATCGAACTTTAAAAAGAAATTTTATTAAATCCATATCTTTTTCAATTTTTTTTGTTATTCAATGTTATCAACTATTAAATTATTTAAGTGTTTATTTTTTTAATTAGAAGAAAAGAGTAAGTGAGTTCTATGATGTTTAAGGTGATAGTATAGATATATGTGTTAAATACACGATCATATATGTATATATATGTATAACAATCCAACGACTTGCATCTTTGAGGGATGGTTAAGGTTCGGCTAAGTTCGGATTCATAGCCGAACTTATCCGAAAACTATATTTCGCTGGCTACTGGCTACCTTCACCATGGGTGTTTTCACCTCTCCGTCGGTTTGTCATGAAAAATTTGTTCGTTTGTCGCGTTTGTTTCTGAGATAAATAATCTTAGACGTGTCTCGAAATATTATACGGAATACGTTCATTTCGTAGTTGTATTTCTTGAGAAGAAATTCGACGTGTGTTTTATTCCTCACAGTTCTCAGTGTCGCACATGTGAAAATTAGGATTTTGACGGATCTGATTTAATGCAATGGCGACGTTACTTTCCATTATGTTGTTCACGTTTTTTTTAACCGTCGGTTGTTACTGTGCTCCTGAAAATTCTTGCAACTATGCAATGCCAATGCAGAAAAATCAACGATAGGGAAAGAATGATCTTCTTCGGGTGTAAGAGAATTTATATTGTTCCTAGATATTGCAATGAACCGGTGGAACAAGTTCAAATCGAGCGGGCTCTGCTATTCGCATAAAAATATTTTTTCTCTTGATTTTCATTACAATTTCTCGAAAAGATTCTTATATAATATATATTTTTTAAATAGTGTCACTGACTATTAGTCGTTATCGAGAAAGCAGCATTAAAAATACGAGTTTCAGTCGAAAATTGGATTTCATCTGTTACATTTTACATTCATAAATCACATCTTTTTTTCAATTGCATATGATTACATATATCAAATTCTTCAAAAATATTTTAGTTTTTACATTATTTAAGAGAACTGTTTTCCAACTGTTTTCATATATTAATATATATATTATGTTATCTTGGTCCAACTTTCTTAACCCATTTGCATCCGTAAGCGGAATATTCCGCGATCTTCATTTATATGTCGAATGCCACTGATGTTTCAACGTAGTAGCATAGAGTTATGATGCAAATGGGTTAATTAAACCTTGTTACTTTTTATGTGGTAAATTTTAATATAAAATCGAAAACTTTGTAGCGCGATTTAGATTTATTATTTTTTAATACTGCGTTGCGTTTACTTTTATTTTTATATTTAAGAGATGATTTGTTTCAACAAAACGATTTTGATGATGAACGGAAACATATTATTTGCATTAATAAAATAAGAATATTAATTTGTTAGAAATGGCATTGAATAACAATAAATACTAATAATAAAATTGGTGATTTACATCCTAACCTAAATTACAAATGTGCCATATTATGACGTCAAGCTTGGATCAGCGCGAACTCGACGAAAATGCGTATACTAATAGAGCATATCTCTGTTTTGTGTTACGGTTGTACAGTGACGCGATGAAGTGTCATCGTTATAAGTGATTACCCAAATAAATATTTGTATTTATTATTTGTAGTTTTTAGTAAAATTTTTAATTAATTACAAGTGTTCAATGTTTATTACATTAGATATCGACGAAAGAAATACAAGTTTCTTGAGAAGAAGAGGAGAAGCTTCGAGAAAAAAGTTGCCGATCTTACAAATTATATCAAATTTTAAGAACCCATATTCTTAGTGATCTGTATCCAAACATTTTAAAAACCAAAGTGTATTTTAGTGCTTATTTTACATATTTACATCACGAAATGTGTATTATGAAAATTTCATATTCACATCATCATAGCTCAATATCCATGAAAAAAGACCAAACGTAAGAACATTGGAGGAACATTTGCAAAAAGAATTGTCATATTTCATGACTCAGTGACAGTGAATTTATATAGTGAACAAGTTTGATATTACATACAAAAAATGGGTAATTGTTTCAGCAGTCCAACAGATACAGAAAAAGAGAAGCCTGATAGAATAGGCAATCCTAATATAGAAGCAGTTGCATCTCCAGCTAGTCCAGTGCCAACACCACCTCCAGATCCTATAAGGCCTATGCCACAAATTCCAGATGCAGATGTGCCAACTGCAAAAATTTTTGTTGCACTTTATGATTATGATGCACGTACTGATGAAGATTTAAGCTTCAGAAAAGGTGAACACTTAGAAATCTTAAATGACACTCAAGGAGACTGGTGGTTAGCTAGAAGTAAAAGAACCCGACAAGAAGGATATATTCCCAGCAATTATGTTGCAAAATTAAAGTCTATAGAAGCAGAACCGTAAGTCATATTTTTATTAATGTTTGTATTAATTTTTTTATAAGTATTTTTTATTTAATAAAAGTAAATATTTAAAAAAAAATTATATATAAGGCAAGAAAATTTGTTTTGAATAATTTCATAATAATAATTGTAAAAAGTTTATAATTTTATTGCAATAAATTTAAATTATAAATATAGATATATTCATAATTTAATTATAAATATAGGTATTAATTAATTATAAATATAGATATATTAATTATAAAAATAGATATATTCATAATTTAATTATAAATATAGATATGATGAATAATTATATAGGAGCAAAATAATTACATTTAGTATGCGACTCACATAAAATTTTACAGTTATGTATTCATTAAAAGAATAGTTGAAATTATATTACATATAAGAGATATGTAGAATATATTATAAATCTAATTATAATTGAAAACATGCAAAAAAAAAATCTTAATACCTTCACTTTTCTTTATTATGTTCTCAATAAATTTTTCTTTGTATAGACTAGTAGTCAATGTGGCCTTGCTTTCACTATATGTATTGACTCTTAGGTTTTATTAATATGGATGGAGAGTTCTGACTATCAGTTAATTTAAATAGGTAGTTCTTTCTTTTTTCTTCTTGTATGTAATAAAAACATACAGTAAACAATTTTTTATTATTTTTTTCAATATTGACTAATCAAATATTAAAGAACTAATTTTATTTTAATTACTATTACTTTTTATAGATGGTACTTCAGAAAAATTAAACGAATTGAAGCAGAGAAGAAATTATTGCTTCCTGAAAATGACCATGGTGCATTCTTAATTAGAGATTCTGAAAGTCGACACAATGATTATTCTCTTTCAGGTATGTTATATTATATGTGAATATATATAAAAAAATTCAATCTCTATAGTGAAGCATATGCTTATAATAAATTTATATTATATTTTTAATATATTATATTTATATTTTTGAATTATATAAATCACATTTTCATGGTAAAATAATAAAAAACTTTTTATAGTACGCGATGGTGATACAGTTAAACATTATCGCATTAGGCAACTGGATGAAGGTGGTTTCTTCATTGCTAGGAGAACTACATTCAGGAACCTTCAGGATCTTGTTGAACATTATAGTAAAGATGCTGATGGACTATGTGTAAATCTCTGCAAACCCTGTGTACAGGTAAGACAAAATTTTTGATTAAATCTATATTTCTTGCAATCCTGTGTCATATAAATGGAGTTTAGACAGCTTGCTGCATGTATAACATTTGATTTTTAATGATACATCACCAAAATGTATTGTTTAATTATTTATTTTTTTTTAAATACTTATCAAGGGATTTCTTTAGTTATTTAATAAAAATTCATTTCACAATCTCTATCCTGATATTTATTAATTTTGAAGAAATCCCTTGATGGTGTAATCCATAATATGAAACAAAAAGTGGAAGTAAAAACACAAATGCATGATTTTTGACTTTTATTTTACACAAATCTATAAAGTAATTAATTTTGTACAGAAAATAAATAAAATGGATGATACAACAAATATTTAAATTACATTTATATATTAATAGCACTGTCTAAACTCCAATTAGACTTTGCTCTAAAATAATGTATTCGATAACTATATGTATATTCTTTAAGAAATGTTATTGGAAAAATATTTGAAATGATATATTGAACAATATAATCACAGTACAAGATACAAGATGAAATTTTATGTGTACTTTACTAAAATATTATTTTATATTTCTTGTTCATGACACTGTTAGGAAATTTGTTTAAGTATATTAATAAAAAAAGCACTAATTTGAATATTAATCAAGGTGTAATAAGGAATTTTTGTATTTAAGTATATGTACAAAATTATGTTTTTTTAAACTTTTAATCTTTAAAAGAAGATTTATTGTTACTTTAAATGAAAAATCATATATATGCATATAATATATTGCTGCTATTTATTTTTAAAAACATTAAGGTTTGAAAACAGCTTTTAGTTTGATAAATAATCTTGCAAAGTTTGATCTCTGAATAGACTATGTTTGTTTCTCTGTTATTGCTTACCTTACCTCCCGCTGGATTTTATTGGTAAATTGAATGTCCCAATATGACATAACATGTTAATTTTCTTTGTTACATAAATGCTTTCCATTATATCTTTGGCCTGTACATACAGCACAAGCCTGTCTTATATGGAATCATGTTTCAAAGACATTAGATCATTCTTCATTTAGAAAATTCACTTCTTTTCATAATCTGACATAACATTGTTAAATACATACTCTTTCTTAACAAAAATAGGATTGAAAGCACACATTTAAAATATAAGATAATTTTGTATCTGTGTGTCTGTATATGCTACTTTGATGTATTGTTAATTAAGACAATATTCAACACAAACATTTTTATAAAATCTCCAACAAATGATCATATTCTATTATCAATATTTGTGTGCTTAAATCTATCTCATATATAGGGTATCTCAAATAAATTCTTAACTTTCCTACTAAATTATCCATATCATTTTGTACTGATTATACAAATGAAAAAAGACTGTTATTGTATTGTATTATATCATGCTATATTATATTAAATAATATTATATAAATAACATATTAAATGAGAAAAATAAGTGATATATTTTTTACTGATGTTCGAGATATCCTGTATGTGAAATTTAAATTCATAGATCAGTTTCTAAAATTTCAGTTTTAGAATTCTTTCTTGTGTTTATATTCACATTAAAGAATTTTAAAACAGATTTTTTTCTTACCTAATAAACCTTATATATTTTCTGAACAATTTTTAATGAGGTAAAACAAGAAAATTTCATAAGACATTTTTGTCTTATTAAATTATATGATTTAATGCTCTCAGTGATTGAAATTATCTTCCATATTTTTTTATACTTTCTTTTAACTCAACTTTATGGCATTGAGGGCATTTTATGTTAAAAAAGTTCAAATATGGTGCTACATTCTTGTTAATAATGTACATATTCCACAATGAATAAATTATTAGTATATATATTTGTCTTGGACCGTGCATAAGTGTTCAATTACTAAGTTCCTGAAATTATATGTATGAATTAATATTCTTGTTTATAAAAATAAATATTAATGACTTTTGAGAAACATTATTATATACAAATTTATCTATAATAAAGATTCATTTACTTCAAAGCGTTATTTTAAATTATATTTCATATACCTTAGTTAATATGTTTATTCAAATCTAAAATAGTTTTCATTATAAAATCACTTGAATGTCAAAAGGCATGTAATTAAATAATTTGAAGTTTGCTTTTCATCACTTGCATCTTGCATAACAGCCACTATTTCTTTTACTTTTTGTGGTATCATTATTAGATTAGACATTTTAATTTAAGTAACACTTGTTGTTTGTTGTCTTATAATAAAATCATTAAGAACTTAATGATCAGTTATGCAGCCTAAGCAACATCCTTAAAGGGCTTCTAATTAGGTTTGTATGAATAAAAAGTAAGATCGGTGCTCCAAGTTTTTTAAAGAAATTTTAGAATTGCAATTAATATATGATTGAAGTTTCTGTATCTTATTTATTAGTGTACAACTTGCAAAAGGAGCATTTGCTATTAATGCCATAGAAATATGTTCATTTATGACAAGTAAACAGTCATTGTCATTGACTGGCACATACTTCTTAATTTTGTTGATAGGTTGAGAAACCTGTAACTGAGGGTCTTAGTCATCGCACACGAGATCAATGGGAGATTGATCGTTCATCTCTCAAATTTGTGAGAAAATTAGGCCAAGGTCAATTTGGAGAAGTATGGGAAGGATCCTGGAATAATACAACTGCAGTAGCAATAAAGACACTCAAACCAGGAACTATGGATCCTAAAGATTTCTTAGCAGAAGCACAAATTATGAAAAAACTTCGTCATGCAAAATTAATTCAATTATATGCTGTTTGTACCTTGGAAGAACCTATTTACATTATTACGGAATTGATGAGGAATGGTAGCTTATTGGAATATCTGCAAGGTAATAGAATTACATTTTTTAATTATTTTAATTTATATATATATATATTTTCTATTTGTTCATTTTTACATGTATTATATATTTTTTGATAGGGAAAGGAAAAACATTAAATTTACAACGATTAATTGATATGGCTGCACAAATTGCAGCAGGTATGGCGTACCTCGAGTCACAAAATTATATCCATCGAGATTTAGCTGCTCGTAATGTGTTAGTAGCAGAATTAAATGTTGTGAAGATTGCAGATTTTGGTTTAGCTAGACTTATTAAGGAAGATGAGTATGAAGCTCGAATAGGTGCACGTTTTCCAATTAAATGGACTGCACCTGAAGCTGCAAATTATAGCAAATTCAGTATTAAATCGGACGTCTGGTCATTTGGTATTCTTTTGACTGAATTGGTTACTTACGGTAGAATACCATATCCAGGTAAACAAATTTTGAGATTTAAATTCTGTAGTATATTTTGATAATAAGAATTTAAGCAATGATATTTAATTATTTTCGTTTTATAGGTATGACAAATGCTGAAGTTCTTCATCAAGTAGAACATGGATATAGAATGCCATGTCCACCTGGTTGTCCAACTGCACTGTATGATATTATGTTAGAATGTTGGAACAAAGATCCAATGAAGAGGCCAACTTTCGAAACATTACAATGGAAACTGGAAGATTTCTTCACTATGGAAGGTTCTGAATATAAGGAAGCCTCTGCATATTAATGTGCGGAAACAATTTATAATTCTTATAACATATTTGGTTATAATATCTATCAACAAAATATAATAGATATTCTGTATGAATGTGCAACGAGGTAAATGCAAATTATTATAATTAACAATTATATTCAGAATACGGATGTTTGTGATATTTGAGAGAGTATACTTTATACTGAAGGATATATAGTTTTCTTTTTATAAACTATAAATACGGTTTATTTTTTTAGCAATATGATTATGTCAATCGCTTTTGTTACATATTCTGGCTGCCATAAAAAGTAGAACAATTTTGTCAATTCACGAATGATTACACATAAACGAACATTGAAATGTTAATTAGTGACTTTTAAAAGCAATGATGTAGTTCAGATTTTATTTTAAAAAATTATATTCTGGACATGTTGCTATTAATACTATCTTTTGGACAATATCTATGGGAGTTAACATTTTTAAGCTAAAAATTTATTATTTACTAATTTTGAGATGATTAAATGCAAATATTATGAATTAAGTGAAAAATTTTCAGACACAGCCAATTTAATTAAACTTTTTCTTAAAAATGGTTTAAACACTTATTATATAATAATAAGGATTATTATATAATAATAAGGCTGTCTTGATTCATCATTCTTATTTATTTCTATACGTACTCATATTTTTTTTATTATTATTTTTACAATTGTTAATTTATTTGTTAATGACGAACATGCAAGTATAACATATTTTGTGTTAAAAATTCATAAAACGTATTGTGTGAAAACTTACAAATGACTTATTAAGCTAACATAAATGTAAGATAAATTTTGTCAATATTTATAATTCATTATTTTTTTAATACGTTAACTCTCAATTATTCTTGAAAAAAGCACATATTAATTAAAAGCAATATATCTAATCTAAAAATTATTCCTAACTGTTTATAAGAAATAAGAAAATATAAGATGTAAGATAACATAAGAAAGTATACAAGGGTATTAATATTATTATAAGAGCACGTAAACTATTATATTTGAATTTTTTTTATTTAATAGCATAAAATAAGGTATAGTCTTTGAATTCCAAATTAGTATCCATTGTTAATAACTACTCAGTTGATCGCATCTTCATATTAATTCAGTTTATTATTGCTATTTCTTACTTTCAAACTCAAATTTTTCATTTTTATACATTTGTACACCAGATATATTATTATTAATTTATTAAGTTCTAAAATTTTATCTTTTATTAATATTTTTAGAAATTTTAATTTCTCAATTAAGTGACATACAATTCGTAGAAATATACTATAATTGTTTGTTTCATTTCGGCTTCTGCAAGAATCTTTAGAATAAATAGAGCAAACATATATAAATCTTAGCTTATCTTATACTTGCATTTTATTACCGTATTTATTATTTACTTTTTTTTCGAAAAATTTACATATAATGTATACTTCTCAAAATTGTATAAAAATTTATTTCATTTATAAAAAGACATTAAGATATATGTGTAAAGTAAACACATAGAATTTATATATTTGGTTTTTATATGAATGAATATACAAAAAAGTGATCAGAAATAAACAAAATTTGTCTAGTCAGAGACCACTCTTCTATTGTCACTATGGTGTTGAATGCACCATATCTTCATGAACATAAGACATACTGCCAAGTAAATATAAAAAAGAAACATTTACCATTATTTACAACTACTATTGTTATTTAGCGAACAAATAACAAATAAAACTGTATAATGACATAACGTTATACGAATAATTAAAACAAAAGGAAAACATTACTTAAAATTAAGTAAAAGAAAATTTAATTATTCTGTGGTCATCTGATGATTAATTTATTACCATTATTTCAAGAAATTACATTGCTTGTAATTAAATAGTATTGCTGGTATTAAATAGTATTAAACTGATGATACTAAGAATTTTAAAAATCATTTATGAATATGTATGTAGAATATCAGGCACTTTGTACAAAAATAAATTTTTATATAAGTATACATATTTATATTTTGTACAGTTTTATTTGAATGAAATGCTTTATATATATATAAATTTCATTAAAACGTAAATGATTTTTATACAGTAAGCTCGATCATTTTTTTCACCAATAATCTTTTTAATTAACGAAGTGAAGAATATATAAGTATTAATTGTGTGAGATATGATGATACGACGCATATAATTTTTAAAAGTAAACATAATAACTATGACATCGTTAACGAAATAGTATTACCGTTAATAAAATTGTTCACTTGTAAGTGTATTATGTCATAATTATTATATATATTATACACAGCTTTATAATTTTGTATGAATGCATAAACATATATAGCATATATAAATGTTATATAATTACGTATAGTACATACATATTCATGTCGTGCGAGTGCGCGTGTGTTTGTGTGTACATACATGTATGTATATATATATATAAATATGTATGTGTATATATGTATACATATAGTACATACATCGCATGTTCAAAAATATTACGAAAACAATTTTGAATTACTTTATAATTTCTTTTGTTCCTTATCATCTTTCCTTACGACTCGAGTATCTGTAATGTTTTTTTTTTTTTTTTCTCTATAAACTAAATTACTTTTTAATCTTATTTTGCTTAATTAAATTATCTTAAATATAATATTTTGGCGTTACTAGTTATTTCATTACATGTTAAAAAAATTAGTTGTAAATAGATGTCGTATAATAATTTAAGAAATAAATCATTTACATATTATCTAATCTATGTAGTATTTTATATGTATAATGTTTCATGTATTTTTAAAACTTGAATTTTATTCCAACACATTGCAAATTATTAAATTTATCAAATACGCGTTTCTATCTTCTGAATTTCACTTATTTCAGTTTTAACTTTTTTCCAGTGGTTGGCAATTGATCTTGATATGAAATAGAAATGTTACTAGAGAAAGTTACTAAACAGTACGTCTCGGCAGGTGTCTTGTACAGGTGTTCAGTCGGCTAGTGGCGCGTATTCGCGTGTTCGGTATATACGTTGTTCTCTCAGCACGATAAAGCATTTGACCGATGTCGAACAAGTATATAAAAAAAAGACCGTGAAATTTCTATTTAAAATTTGTAAAAATGTCACGATCATGGTGTGAAGTGATAAATTCGAAATATCGTGAAAGGTGATCATTGCTAAGGGTAAAAATTTTCACACGAAAGATCGGCGGCAGACATCGAGTTATATTGCAGCTGGATATTATGCTAAACACGTTACGGTCAGAATGCGGGAGGAAGAACTTGAGATATCACTCAAGGTGATCAAAAATCTAATTTTCATTCCTTTTTCCATACTTTTCTACTGATAATATATTTTATCACTTTATGCTTTTGATAAATAAAACTTTAATTGGCGCGCTTTTAAATGTGTTGGAATACATGAACATTTTCTCAGTAATGAAGTTTACACCAAGCGTAACCACTTTTACTTAACGTATATTTTTTTTTTTATTCCGAAATTGAAAACAAGGACAAGGTAATTATATTTAGAAGTATCGAATGCTGATTAGTTTTAAACGATATTATTTCATCGAAGTTTATATTTAGTTTCAAATCAGGCTTCGGAAATGCGTATGCGCAGTGACAAATCTGCGGTATCATATGTGCATACATATATTTATTATATATCTATACACACAATTTACGCACATGTACACGTACACACACAACTGAACCGGCTTAATATACTATAGGTTAGGAATAATTTTTTGTTTCTGTTATTTTTTCGAACAAAAGACAATGGATAATAAAAGTAATTGTAAATGTTATTATAAATAAGACGAAAATAAAAGATGTCCTCCGATGAATGTAGTTTATCTTTCGATTGTTATAACGGTACATACCAACATATTCATAGGCATATACTTCTTCAAGACTACATATTACTTTTACTATTCTTATTATTTGCACTTGGAACATCCAGTACGTGCATGCATAAATCGTTACATCTTATTTGACTATATAGAAATATGTAACAAGACTATTCCCTTTCCAATTATAGTGTTCCCGCGTCTTCTGGATTATTTTGCGTTAACACTCTATAATATAGTTGCATTTGATTTATTAAATAATTTCTACTTGAAATTATTCGTTTAGAAATATTTCAAATATTATGTTAAATTATAATATTTACTAATGATAAAATGGGCGCGAATATCAGTATTAATATTTTCTTTAACGGTTATTATAAATAATCATTTTATAAACAAATATATATATATATTTTTTTGACACTTAATAAATAATATTCATTTGCTTGGAACGTAGCTCTTTACAATGATATTTCTTGTTTATGTAGAAAAGAATTTTAACAATGATTTGATTATTTTTGGCAATACTTTCAAACAATTTATTTCGATCTTAATCGAACACTCAAGACAATTAAAATGAATAATTTTTGTATTAGAAAAATTTTCTATACTCTGAAAAGAATAAACGATCGTACGATTGAACAGTAAAAAATTTACCTGCTATCTACCAACAATTTCTTTTACAATTTCAATTGTAATTTAATATGTATAAAATAAAATTAAAATCATTTTCTTACACTGACATTATATAACTACATTAATATTTCCCTAATTTCGAAAGATGGAACGATAAAATTAGAATGTGGGGATTAGATTCCTCGAGAAATTCACATGATTAATATACACGGATTTAATTAGTATACTGTTATAATAAGTATTTCAGAATCACGACTAGAGATTGTAATTACTCAAGTTCGAACAGAAAGAAGAAGCATAATGAAAATTGTTAATTCGATAATATAGTTAACCAGTCGAGTTTATAAGCAAGTATAAAAAAAAAAGGGAGATCAATAATCCCGAATTCTATTTGGGCAACGTCAACATGAAAAACGGTATTCTCCATCGGAATATTTTCTGTGAAAGCTCGCGTCTTATGAGGCGATAAAAAGTCGCCAGAATATATATTACGGCGTTCCTTCCTCAATTTACTACAGTATAAAATCTTGTATGCACAATTTATAACACGATAAATATCTAAGAATCGATGCTACATAACATTTTATCAATTTACTGCTTATTATTATAAACAATTATATAACCTTTAATTTTCAATGTGCGTTTTTCATTTTGCTTCGAACAGATGAAGATTGACAAATTACTTCAATTGTGAATAATTTAAATGTAGAGCCGAACTGTCATAAAACTAAAGCTAAAACAACTTTAAATGACCTTGTACTGTCTTTGTAGTGTTTTCTTCTCGTGCTACGTTGTTTTCTTCGTTTTATTCATTTTAATAAAACGAAATTTCATTTCTAAAATTTTGAGTTAGTTTCTAAATTTTCAACAGATTAATCACGGGTTGACGTACCTGCAAAGCGTTCTTAAAAAATCAAATATTTGACTTTACATAACATATGTAAATTATATTGTCATAAGAATATTTTTAACGACACATTATATACTTACACATTTTATCAAACATCTGTACTGTAATTTCGAACATGTTCATAAATTTAAATATTTATTAAACAATACACAAATTGTATATACATTCTAGTATATCTTCAAGTCGTTCAAATATTTTAAATATTGCCGTGAATATTCTTTGCTATACATTTTTTATATTTAATAATTGACGATCAGTATTTAATTTTAAAAGTAGTTTGTATATTCATTAGGACATACTCTTCACATACACACACGCATATATGTACAACATACAACTTAAGTTTCAACAGAGGGTCGATCTGAAAGACCGGTTCACGTGGACTTGGGGCCCTTATCGATTTAACCCACTTCTTCCTTTAGACGAACCGTTATCTCGATTTTGGCGGAATTATTTCCGATACTTTAGTGGACACGATTTCTCGAAATTTTATGCATATCTTACACACGCAATAAAACATGTCAAATCTCGGCAAGACGAATCGTTTTCAATGTAAATCGTTACGTTCGAAATATTTATGCTTGCTTGAAGCAAAAATATATTGAATTTACATTTTAAATGTTCTGTTCGTTTATATGTATATATAAAAAAAAGTTACGAAAACATACGAGGCTGTTTGATTTAACGACAACATTTATCTCACATCATCGACAAAAAGTGATGGCACACCTTTGATATCGGTGAGAATGCGCTTCGTAATTAAGTGCTTCCTCTTTTTCTCTACTTTAAATTATATGGCCGACTAGTACATAAATTATAACTGTACATGGAAAACTGTTAATCAACCTAAAATCATAAAATATAGTATTAATTAGATTTCACGTTTTTATTTATTGTATTTTCGGATTCGATGCTTCGAGCAACAATCCCTGTCGGTCATTCCATTCTATTGTACGTCATTATATATACATACTTGGTTAATAGTCTTTACCCTCACGGTCCTAATTCTCACAAATTAAACACATTTTTAAAAGCGGTGTCAATGATGAGAACGAGATTAACCTGATACTCGCAGTTACATGATACTTTTCTCTCTTACGAATTCATTTATCATTCATTTATTGGTTTAATTCCGAGTTGTGGATTTAATCATCACGTAAAAAAAAAAAAAAAAAAAAAAAATAAAAGAACGGTCGAACATATCGCCGAACAATTGTATTTTCTGCGTGTACAATGAGCTTGAATGAGACGATATGACACTTTGTATACACTAAGCTTGAAAAGCAAGCGTCTTTATGACGCTTTTATCGATTAGTTCTTCTTATCGTCCGCGGTCAATGAGACAGCAATTTTGGCGGAAAATGAATCATCCTCCCGCAATTAAATTTTCCCCGTTCTGGATGAGAATCTTCACAAATGTTGCAAGTCAATTATAATACATTTCGATTGGATCGTTGCTCACTTACACACGATACAAACTTTGTTATTCACTTCTAAGGGACAAAGGGATTTTAAAAGTCGCTCGTGATCATGCTCTGCAAAATAATGCCGATACGGTTCGGTATTTGCGTTGTCGAGCAAGGAGATGACTACTTTTATTCGATCGCCTCATAATTCGCCGACAAGAAAGCTGCGACGAGAAATTAGCTCTATGCTCCTTTCTTGCTCGTCTCGACCTACCTTCTAAACCTACAAGTTTTAGAAAGTCCACCTTCCATATAATTCTACATATACGCACGCTGTCTCTAGATAATTTAAAATCGCCCCTAATGGCAATTGATGATACACTGAAAAATATATTATACAACGAAAAATTGATGTTACGAATTTCGATCGATCAGGCCATCGAGTGCATGTGGTGAAATCTTTGTTTGCAGGTGGTGATAGTGGGTAATGGAGCTGTGGGGAAATCGTCAATGATCCAAAGGTTTTGCAAGGGCACTTACACAAGAGACTACAAGAAGACGATCGGTGTCGATTTTTTGGAACGGGAGATAGAGTAAGTGAAAGCCGAAGAAAGAAATTAAATATAAAAACGAGAAAGAAAAAAAAAAATAGTAGCGGAGGGTAAAACATTTTTGACTGTTATTTTCCATGTAAAACGATGTTACCTTTAATATTCGAAGTATCAGGAATCTTTCTTTTTGCGATTAATAATCGGATTATCGCGGAATCTTTATTCGAATCGTTAATCGAGAAAAATCCGTTTGAACAAGTTTCGAGCCGGTCGGAGTCGTTCGAGTGATAAAAAAGAATTGTTTCACCCAATCCTGGCTAGCCTCGACAAAGGAAATTCATCGCGATATTTTTTCACACTTTCGACGAGTCCTTTTACGTTACAAAATACTGCCGATACGTGAAACGCATAGTGAAACCCCTTCTCGAAGTCTCTCGAACCCCTCTTCGATCGGCCGAGCAACTCGATTTTCTTTATTTGCTCGTGCAGCTTATCTGGAGGACCTTGAGGTGATTGTTGTTTCAGAGGAAACGCGTATACTTGCGAGTATACGTCCGAGATAATTACGCTACGCACGAGCACGCGATATATCGGGGTGAAAAATCATAAAGTGCGTACCGATTGTGGTGTGTCTATGGTAGCGGATTTTCGTGTTCCCGTCTAGATTGGGAGAAAAAATATCTCACGAACGGTGGGAATATTAATATTAATAGGAGAGGTAAAAATTCGTTTTCACGCTGCTAAAAGCTATAGGAGAATAAGGAGTTGTAAGCCGTCGGCCGATAATTAAAGACTGTGTTAAAGAAGGATATATAATAGGTGTATTCTGGCCCGAACGTATACCTTCTCCGAGTTAATTACATTCTACGGAGGGACGTTCCACTCCATCCTATTGTTAGTCCATCGTTTTATCATTTTCTGGGCAATGTCTAATTGCACTTTAAATTCGATTCTGTTTAATTACATTCATGGTACGCGTTCGTTGCTCCTTCGATTACTAATTAAAAACTTTTCATTTTATCCTACCTTCCTTAACCTCTTGTGCCACGCACGTCGAGAATTTTTTGTCCCAAAATTGCAATATTCTCTCAGTTTTAAGTATATTTAAGTAAAACAAAATAGGCAAAACAAATGATAAATTTATTATTTCTCGATCATTTCTATCCAGTGATATCATACCAACGAGTTCAAAAAGGAATTATTGTATACGGTTTGGTTACTCGTTATGGTCCGCAATCAGTTGCCAGCGCACGTCGAGAATTTTTTGTTCCCAAAATTGCAATATTTTAAGTATATTTTAAAGTATATTTAAGTATAACCCAGGCAAAACAAATAATAAATTTATTACTTTTCAATAATAATTTTTATCCAGTAATATCATACCGACGAGTTCAGAAGAAAAAGAAAGCAATAAATTATCGTATACGGTTCGGTCACTCGTTATGGTCCGCAATCAGTGGTTAACTTCTTGCGCTGAAATGACGTGCTACGCACGTCGAGAATTTTTTGTCCCAAAATTGCAATATTCTCTCAGTTCTAAGTATATTGAAGTATAACCCAGGCGAAACAAATAATAAATTTATCACTTCTCTATCCAGTGACATCATACCGATGAGTTCGAAAAGAAAGCGACGAATTATTGTACACGGTTTGGTCACTCGTTATGGTCCGCAATCAGTTGCCAGCGCAAGTGGTTAAAGAAATTATTTTTTCTCATTGTACATCTATCTTTGTTTTACTATCGACTATTTTCATTTCGTTTTTTTTTTTTTTTTTCTTTTAAATATGATTGTGAATCGTTATAAGTTTATAAATTCATCAATGGGATGATATTATCCAAATGAAATCCTTGTACGATCGAGCAAAACGAAATAACGTTTGTTTGCCTTTTAAGTGTCAAATATTTCGCGTACGGTTATACAGACGTTCGTCGAGGTGTTTTTCTAGAGGCGAGTGTGCGTTTCTAGGTCCCTGAGAAATGCGCGTGTTACACGTCTCGACAGGAGCTATCGTGGGATACTTCCTGATGCACTTTTGCCCCGCGATAATCGTGGTCGCCTTTTTAAGAAGGGAAGTCCTTCTTTGCGCCTGCTTTCCTCAAACTAAACAAGCAGAAGAACGTAACGAAAATACACCGCTAAAATAAGAAAAAAATCGGTAGATCGGCCCAAGCATTGCCTAAGAAGTCAGCGTACAACAAACCGTAACACGATTTAATAAGCGAACATTTTACAGTCGACAGGCTTGAACGGATAGTAATTTTAAATCACTGATCTTGGTTCAAGTCAATGAAAACACCGGTAACTGTACATCTTTCGAGTAAATGAATGGGGAGTCGCGATGAATTCGTTAAATTGAATAACGGAATCCTTCGCGATGCCCGATCCCCGATGCAAACTTGCAGGTTTTCTTTGGAGAAAAAAAAAAAAAAAAAAAAGAAAACGCGGTCGAGTTTCCTCTTTTTCCCTTTTTAAGCGTCCTAAGTAGATCGAGAATTTTAACCGGTGCGCTGCGACATTCTCGTTCGTAAATATAAATACGATTCGCAAGAATGCTTTTCCACCGATATATACGTGCATACATTTTAACGATCTCTTTTTTT